GAATTTCTGTCAGGCCACTTCTCCATGTAACATCTGTTGCTCCCCAAATCTTCCTGCAGCCCCTGAGTGGTGGCCCTCCTGGGTATCTGCTCCTTCCCCTGCATCTCTTTCCATTATCCCACGTGTTCTCTGTCATCTTATACTCTCTGGGCCTTGGAAAATGCTGCTCCCACCCCACTGCCCATCTCCTCCTTCGGGTGTGAGAGGTCCCTTCCTCAGGGAAAGCTATCCGGACCCCCTGCTGTGAGGTTCCATCAGGTGTTCCCGTAGCAATCTGGAAATACCCTTGAGTCTCCCTTGGAGTGTTTAATTGTATGTGGAGTGTCCTTTCTCTGAAGTTATGCACGATCCATGTGTTTGTTCACTGACTTGGCTCAGGAGTTGTTCAATAAATAGGTGTTGAATAAAGAACAGTTGACTTCTTTTTTTTTTAAATAAACAAAAACTCCTTATAAAAAGTATAGGTACCTAAATAGAATCTAGTTTTGAAAATGAAATAAAAATGAAATCATACATGCATAGTTGTATTCATGAGTATGTTAAATTAAAAGTTATACAATGAGAACCATTAAGAGACAAATCCAGGGGCTGTGGATTTAGCTCAGTGGCAAAGTGCCTGCCTAGCAAGCACAAGGTTATGAGTTCGATTTCCGGTACCGGAGAAAAACCAAAAAAAAAAAGAAAGAGACAAATCCAGGCACCAGTGAAGATACTTCTCAGGATTTTCATATCTCACTGAGAATCGAAAACCACCAGTCTTTTCTTATATATTATTCTATATCCACATTCTCTACATCTGATTGGATACCTGGATTTCACTTAATTTTCTCCACAGACACATACCACTGGCTGCTGCTATGGAGGTTGGACTTCTTTTACGGTGTCCATTGTTAGTTGCTAGGTAACACTGAGCAGGTTGACTTTTACAGACATCCTGGAAAGCAGAGGTTGGAGAAGCATCTTCTGGTTTGCCTGCACCTTGCTGCTGGTTCTCCTGCCCTAAGTCACTGACCCTCACCCCACAATATGAGACCTGGGTTCCCTGATGTCATCCCAGCCTGTCCTGCAGCACTGGGTCCTGCTCCTACTTCATCTCAGGACCCCATCCTGTTCCTGATGTCCGCATAGCTCCTGTGCCCCTCAGATGCGGGGGGAGGATGCTACTGCTCCAGGGGACAGGGTTTGGATTCTTTCTTTGATTAGAGTTCTTATTTCTTGGATTATGACTACTTCCGGCTTCTCTGGGAGACTCACACCTCTGATAGGTCTTGGGTTCAACCCCAAAGCCAGCTCAGGCCAGCCAGTTCCAGGTGATGCCAAAGCCAAAGGTTATGGGGTTGTGGGGAGTGCACTGAAGGGGAGTGCTGTATTTTTTTCCCTCCTTGAGTACCGGGGATTGAATCCAGGGCCCATACACTGAGCTACCTCCCTAGAGCTTCCTCCCCAACCTTTGGAAAAGAATCTCTATTTTGAGAGCAAGTCTCACTAATTTATTAAGTTGTCTGCACTGGGTTGAACTTGCGATTCAGGCATGTGCCACCACACTCTGCTCAGTGCTGTGGTTTGAATGTCCTTACCAAAACTCATGATGCATTATTCTTTATTGTTATTATTCTGGTACTGGAGACCTAATACAGGACTTCTTTACCACTGAGTTATATCCCCAGACCTCTTAGTTTTTTGAGACAGGGTTTCACTAAGTTGCTTGGGCCGGGCTTGCACTTTCAATGATCCTCTACCTCAGCCTCCTGAGTAGCTGGCCTCGTGTTGAAAGGCAGAAACTTAATGCCACTATAGCTTTTGGAGGTGGGACATCTGGGAGGTAATTAAAGTTGTTTGTTTGTTTGTTTTCTGATACCAGGAATCGAACTCATGACCTCACACTTGCCAGGCAGGCACTGTGCTGCTGAGCTAAATCCCCAGCCCGAGGTAATTAAAGTTGAATGAGGCCATAATGGTGGGGCCCTAATCTAATGGGACTGTAGTTTTGTAAGAAGAGGAGGAAGCCAGGCATGGTGGCACATGCCAGTAATCCCAGCACTTGGGAGGCTGAGGCAGGAGGATTTCTGTGAGTTCAAGACCACCCTGGGCTACACAGTGAGTTCAAGAGCTGCATCCTGAATTATATAGCAAGCCCAAGTCTAAAAAACCAACCAAACAAACAAACAAAAAAAGATTAGGATTTTTGGTGGGCCATGGTGGTGCACGCCTATAATCCCAGGAATCTGTAAGGCTGATGCAGAGGGTGAGCAAGTTCAAACCCAGCCTGAGCAATTTAGTGAGACCCTATCTAAAAACAAATAAATTTTAAAAATTAAATTTAAAAAGGAGAAGAGACTTGAGCTAGGACATTCCGCCTGGCCATGTTCCGCCTTGGGACGCTGCAGAGTTCCCACGAGCAAGAACAGCCTTGCCACGTGTGGCTGTCTGATCTTGAGCAACCGAGCCTTTAGAACAGTGATCCACAGAAACTTGTGTCCTTTATAATGTCTTCAGTCTGTGGTATTAAGTTGCAGTAACAGAAAACAGACCAAGACAATGGGTGTATGGCTGGAGGCTCACCCGGTCCTCATGGGAGCGTCCTAGGTGTGGAGAGCAGCAGGGGATCAGCAGCCAGGCACCAGCTCTGCAGTGGATGTCAAGACATGTGGTGCTAGCCGGGCGTGGTGGCGCACGCCTGTAATCCCAGCACTCGGGAGGCTGAGGCAGGAGGATTGTTGCAAGTTCGGGACCAGCCTGGGCTACAAAGTGAGCTCAAGGCCAGCCTGAACTGCATAGCGAGACCCTGTTGCAAAAAGACAAAAAAAAAAAAAAGACGTGGGGCTTCATTTGTTCACTCATTCAGTCTACCTCTCTTTAAAGCACCGGGCATGTGCCAGCTTCTGCTCCAGGCCTGCAGGATAGCAGTGAGCAAAACAGCCGGAAACTCCTGCCGCTGTGCTGCTTGTGTTCTTGAGAAGTGGATTAGGTGATGAATTGTGTGCATAATTTAACAGATACAGCAGATGGTGCACTGGTGCCCACGGTGGCTGTGGCCAATGACTACACAGCAGAACCGACTCTCCCACAGTTCTCTAGCCGTCCCAGGTCCAGGTACCAGCGGGTCCACGCTCCCCCTCAAACCTGGCGGGGAAGCCTTCCATGCCTTTTCCTCACCTCTGGTGACGGCAGCAATACGTGGTGTCTCTGTCTCCAAATGTCTTCCTGCTTGTAGAGACGTTGGTTGTTTTGTGTTTAGGCGCCCACCCCATTCCAGTCTGGTATGATCTCATCTTTATTTAACGAATAACTTCTAATCTGGGTGTGGTGGCACACACCTGTAATTCTAGCACTCCTCGAGGCTGAGGCAGGAGGATCATTGCCAAGCCTGGGCAATTTAGTGACTTACTGAGAACCTGTCTCAAAGTAAAAAATAAAAAAGGACTGGGGATGTAGCTCACTGTGAAAGCCCCGGGTTCAAACCCAAGTACTGGAAAAAAAACCCTAATTAATTGCCTCTGTAGTGACCCTGTTTCCAGACTGAGTCACATTCTGAAGGACTGGGGGTTAGAATTTCAACCTGTCTTTTCGGGAGAGGGGCACAGCTCAACCTGTCCCAGATGGGAGTCAGTGCTCTGGAGAAGCAAGGCCGGGAAGGTGCCTGAGGGTGCCGGGAAAAGGCTGCACCTTTAGGGGCGTCCTCAGGGAGTGTGCAGCCAAGACCGGATGAGCCAGCAGAGGAGGGAGTTGGAGGGAGCACCCGACACCGGAGCAAGTCCGCCGCCCGCGGGCCTGGTGTGGAGACCAGCAGCACGGAGGCCCAGGGAGCTGGGTGCAGGGGGGAGGGGGCCCTGTGAGGACCGGATGCGACGGTACCGAGCCCAAGGGATGCGGAGACGGCGGCCTCGGTCCTGCGGGGGAGAACGAGTGAATAGGTGAGAGGCTGCAGGCCGAATATGGACCGTGCTGGTGCCTGTTCTCTTTTTTTTTTTTTTTTTTTTTTTTTGGTTTTTCTCCGGTACCGGGAACCGAACTCACGACCTTGCAGTTGCCAGGAAGGCGCTTTTGCCGCTGAGCTAAATCCCCAGCCCCTTGCCTGTTCTCTTGAGGCTGTAAAAACTGTACTCTACCCAAGCCGGGGAGGGAGC